GATGCCGGCGAGAGGAAGATCATTCAACTTCAAAAGCGATGGACTGGACATTCAACTGTCACCAGAGACAATCTCGACAGTAATGGAGATTCTTGGTTACATGGGCGGCAAGATCAAAGACCTGGACACCTCACGCGAACTCGAGTACCTACGCAAGATTCGACAGCCTAAACCGCGCATTGCTCTCAACGACGAGGAACAGGCTGAGCCCCCTGACCTGATCGACTCTTTCCTGTCATCGCTGGCCTATCAGTTCGAGATTCAAGACACCCAAATCAGTTGGTTCGTCGGCGACGCCGTAGAGCTGCCTTCCCTCGATAAAGAGGATCTTATTCTTTCAATCAAGCTCATCAGTTTTGGCACGCGTCAAGCCAACTCGGCACGCCTCACTATCGAAGACTTTCAACTTCAGATGGTCCCGCCTGGCCAGGACCCACGGATGCGGTCTCGACACTCTGCACTTCTGCCTGAAATAGTCTTCAACATTGCCTATGTTTCCACTCCTACTGCGAGGCGTCTGGCATGTCAAGCGGTTGGCAAGTCCCTTGATTTGCGCCTCACATCTGGTTTCATCATTCCGGTGGCCAACTTAAAAGATTCCATAACCTTGTCCATCAGCAACGTGCAAAAGGCATCTGAGGACTGGATCATGAGCACAACTCATACCAAGCCTGCTGGGGAAAAGCGAGGAGCCCCGCGAATCGAAAGCTCCACACTGCGGCCGGCTGGCATTCTTGGCAAAAAAGGATTCGAATCTCTGCTCGTCGATGCTGACTTTGCCGGTGCCGTCGTCCACGTTTCGGGCAAGAAGGCAGCGGGGGGGAACCGAACCTCAAGAATCCTACGCCAGTCTGCGGCGGGCGGAAAATACGGACAATTCAACCCTGACGAATCGGGAAGCAGTACTGTTCTTCGAAGCCCTGGCGTGGCTTGCAAAATCGAATACAGAGACAACGACCAAGAAGATCCCGCACTCTACGGAGAGATCAAGGTCGATGCATCGAGCAACACCCTGTATCCTTCCGTCGTGCCCCTCATCATGGAGATTATGTCGAGTGTGAAAGAAGTTGTCGGGGACGACACGAGACCAAGCGCGCAGACGTCACCACCACAGCTGAAAGCAGAGGTCAGCAACGAGGATAACATTCTGACAGCCGACCCCAATGCTGTTCTGGGTCGTCTGAAGTTGAATCTTGGCCTTCGCATCTGTCGTCAAGAATTTTCACTCAGTTGTCAGCCTATCGCCCGCGTGGCCGCCACCGCTTGCTTCGATGACATCTACTTCACCGCAAATACAGTACGATCTGTGGACAAGGCAACTTTTTCGCCATATCGGCGCCTTCACCAATCTGACAGTGTCCGTCCAACATGTTTATTCCAGAGAGTCGACAGCTAGCTTTGAGGTTGAGTCCCATCGTGCTCTCCTTTATGAACAGCAAGCATGTCAGCGGCACGAAGCGGAGTTTCCGCCATTCTCAAGGTTATCCCGATGAACATGTCGATCAACCGCCAAGCAGCTTCAGGACTTTTTACTCTTCGCCGAGATCTGGTACCCCAAGGAGCTCCGCCAGGGATCCGCAGCCCCAGTGGCCAAGCTGACTACCGAAACATCTCAGGGACACCTTGTTCAGCCGCTACCAGCAGGGTAGCCGCAACAGCCGCCTTCCCGTGGACGGGCCACGATTATCCATCACGTCGCTGGACGTCAGTGTCGGATCTCGGTCAGGCAATAGGAAAGTCTTCCCTTCAAGATCAAACAACTTCTGGGTGTCCCTCGAAGAAGACGTCAGACTGGGAGCAAAACCTCTGTCTCGGGATCGACAAGGTAGGAATCGACTGCACTGGCAGGCTCAGCGGCTTCGTTGAACTGCAGAACTTCAAATCCGCACTTCGATCCAGTGGCCTGAGCGTGAGGCAGCGCTCAATGAGACCCCCATGATCCAGGCTTCCATCGGCTTCAGTCAATTCCGTGTCAAGGCTGCCTTTGACTACCAGGCGTTCCTGGTTGCGGACATTACTTCACTTGAGTTTTTGATGTACAATGTGCGTCGCAGTCTTGAAGGGAGCGGCGACCGACTCGTGGCCATCTTCGATGGCGATGCGGTGCAGATCTTTGGCACGACCAACTCGGCGGCGCAGGGGCTGTCGCTCTACCAAGCTGTACAAAAGCTGATCCAGGAGCGGCGGGCCAATTTTGAGACATCTCTGAAGGAGATTGAAAAGTTCATGAGGCGCCGGTCTCGCGGCAATAGCAGCACGACGATATCATCTCCTCAGACCTCGGCGCCGCCCAAATTGCCAGTCGACGACACTCTGGCAAAGTCGCCCATCTCCTTGGACACGGACGTGGTCGTGACATTGAAGGCGCTGAACCTCGGCATCTTCCCGAATACGTTCTCGGATCATCAGGTCTTCAAGATCGAGGCACTTGACGCACACGCAAGATTTGCGGCGAGCATGGAGCAGAGAAGGATCCACAGCATCCTCGACCTGACGTTGGGCCAGCTCCGGATAGGACTCGCTGGGGTGCGCAACAGTGAAGCACCGAAGACGTTGAGTGAGATTACTGTAGAGGACGTGGTTGCCCGGGCCACTGGACTCGCGGCGGAACCATGATGAAGGTACCCGAGCTGGAGAACATTATGCAGACGTGGTCAGCGGCAGAGGGGAACCGTATCTGATACACGTTCAAGAGGGCGATCGGGGGCTAGGTGGAGGTGGGTTGGAACTACTCGCGCATCAGCTACATCAGGGGCATGTGGGCAAAACATGCAAAGTCGCTGGAGCAGACGTGGGGCAAGGAGCTGCCGCTGCCACTGGCGGCGATCAAGGTGACGGGCGTGCCGGAGGCAGCGGACTCGGAGGACGGCGGACAGGCGATGGGCGGGTCTCCGCGATCGTCACTGTCGGCGCAGCAGCAGCAGCAACAGCAGAAGATCACGGCCGAGGTCAACGTGCCGCAGTCCAAGTACGACTACGTGGCGCTGGAACCGGCCATCATCGAGACGCCGCAGCTCCGGGACATGGGCGAGGCGACTCCGCCGCTGGAGTGGATTGGGCTCCACAGGGATCGCATGCCGAATTTGACACATCAGATCGTGATTGTTTCGCTGTTGGAGCTGGCGGGCGAGGTGGAGGATGCATACGGCAGGATTATGGGGTCATCATGAAGGATGGCTGACTACAGCAGGCGGGAGACGACGGAGGCATGTGCATAGGCAGCATGACACGGGCATCGGCGTCGAGTCATCCACCGAGCCTGAGGCTGTACATACAACTGAGCAGATAAGGTTGACTACGACAGCCTGGTGCGTTGCCACCTCGGCACGTAGATGATGACTCGGGTTTTAGCCATTTCACTATCCTTGATAACGTCAGACAGCTTTGTCGTGTAGGCTTGGAGTAATCGGCCTGATTGTTCGGTGTAGCTCTGTGTAGCTCTATGTAGCTCTGTGCAGCTCTGTGCAGCTCCCGTTCGGTAGATGTCTGTCCGTCCCCAGGCTCAGCCCCATGTCATTGGCGGCGTGCATGATAGCTGGACGAACAGTGATGGACATGCTCTTGCAGGTTGACTCAAAACGGCGGGCTGCTTTTTCGAGAGGGGGGGGGGGCAGCTGCTCCGGCGTGTGAAGAGTCCCGGACCATGAAGCTGAGCTGAGCATACCTAGGGCCAAACGGAGGCAGGTAGGTAAGGTATTGAAGGTACCTAGCTGGTGAGGTACCTTCCGAGGTGGTGGGCAGAGATAGGAGGGGCAAAGAGTACGTACATGGGTTCGCGTACCAGGCTGCCAGCTGGTAAAGCACCCGATGACGAACAAAATCTGCAGTGCGAGCATCTGCGAGCATCTGCGACCGTGGACGACAAAGGGCGGACGTCCGGCAAAGACGGCCCAGGGTTTCTGTGCCCTCAGCAGCGTGCACACCCAGACACCCAAAAGTCGAGAGTGGGTTTTTTTCTTCTCCTGCCAGCTGGTGCCGGAAAGGAGGGGGAGCTCCTTACGGGCGCGACGAGTTGTCGCAGCACACCAAGCACCAAGGAGGGGCTGGAGGGGGAGGGAGGGGGAGGGAAACGAAAAACAGGAAGTGGCGTGGCGACGGCGGGGTCGCCTCGGGCTCTGGGCCCCACTGTAGGAGGCATTTGTCACAGCGGGCGACTCCTCGCCCACACCTCTCGTCAACCTTCTTTTTTTCCCTCCCCTCCGCTCCACCACCTGATCTCTCCCTCTCTCTCTCCTCCCCCCCCCTCGTCCTCCGATCAAAACCTCCCCAAAGCAACGATAAAAGAGTGACGGTGGAACATCTCCATTGTCATTTTTGGCTTGTTGCAACCCCCGACTATCTACAGCTTTAGATTGCCCTTTCGCTAGAAAGCGCATCTAAGCATCTTCCGCGCGCGGGGCAGAGTCTTTTTGACCCCGCTTCCAACAACAACACATCGACAAATTTTCCAACCAGGAAGTTCACCCCCAGAACTACCGCCAAGATGGTCAAGTAAGCGTCTTTCCCCATCATTCCTGTCTTCTTGTCGTCTTCTTTGTCGGGGAACATCGGAGGTTCGAGTCCATCGCCATCGGACAACATGGGCACCCGAACCTCTGTCTCGCTTTTGGTCGTTCAGGTCACCTGGACGATGTAGATCTTGTCGCTGGCCGCAAGCTCCTCGAGTTCGACCACCCAGCCTTCCTGTCGACTCGTGTTGCGCCTTCACTAGCATGATCTTCATCTTCTCCTCGTTCTTCTTGCCTTGGATTGCTTTTTTCCCTCCCGGCCTGTTCGCCGCGAGCTTGATGCTGTCATCTATTTGTCACAAAGCTTCAGTATGCTGACCACCACCATTTCTACAGCTTCACCACTGAGGAGATCCGGCAGCTTATGGACAAGCCTTGCAATGTCCGTAACATGTCCGTCATTGCTCACGTCGACCACGGCAAGTCGACCCTCACCGACTCCCTCCTGTCCAAGGCCGGTATCATTTCCACCGCCAAGGCCGGTGACCAGCGAGCGACGGACACGAGAGCCGACGAGCAGGAGCGTGGTATCACCATCAAGTCTACCGCCATCTCCCTGTTCGGTCAGCTCCCCGACCCTGAGGACATCAAGGATATCGTTGGCCAGAAGACCGACGGCACCGACTTCCTGATCAACCTGATCGACTCGCCCGGTCACGTTGATTTCTCCTCCGAGGTCACCGCCGCTCTCCGTGTCACCGACGGTGCTCTCGTCGTCGTCGACACCGTCGAGGGTGTCTGCGTCCAGACCGAGACTGTCCTGCGTCAGGCCCTTGGTGAGCGCATCAAGCCTGTTGTCATCATCAACAAGGTCGACCGTGCTCTCCTCGAGCTTCAGGTCTCCAAGGAGGATCTGTACCAGTCCTTCTCCCGTACCATCGAGTCCGTCAACGTCATCATCTCCACCTACTTTGACAAGTCTCTCGGTGACGTTCAGGTCTACCCCGACCGCGGTACCGTTGCCTTCGGCTCCGGGCTCCAGGGGTGGGCCTTCACCATTCGCCAGTTCGCGTCTCGCTACGCCAAGAAGTTCGGTGTCGACCGCAACAAGATGATGGAGCGTCTCTGGGGCGACAACTACTTCAACCCCGCCACCAAGAAGTGGACCAAGAACGGCACCTACGAGGGCAAGCAGCTCGAGCGTGCCTTCAACCAGTTCATCCTCGACCCCATCTTCAAGATCTTCGCCGCCGTCATGAACTTCAAGAAGGAGGAGACCACCACCCTCCTCGAGAAGCTTAACCTCAAGCTCTCCGCTGATGACCGCGAGAAGGAGGGCAAGCAGCTCCTCAAGGCCGTCATGCGCACCTTCCTCCCCGCCGCCGACGCCCTCCTCGAGATGATGATTCTCCACCTCCCCTCGCCCGTCACGGCCCAGAAGTACCGTGCCGAGACCCTGTACGAGGGTCCCGTCGACGATGCCGCCGCCATCGGTATCCGTGACTGTGACCCCAAGGGTCCCCTCATGCTGTACGTCTCCAAGATGGTGCCCACCTCCGACAAGGGTCGTTTCTACGCCTTCGGTCGTGTCTTCTCCGGTACCGTCAAGTCCGGCATCAAGGTCCGCATTCAGGGCCCCAACTACGTTCCCGGCCGCAAGGAGGACCTCTTCATCAAGGCCATCCAGCGTACCGTCCTCATGATGGGCGGCAAGGTCGAGCCCATCGACGACATGCCCGCCGGCAACATTGTCGGTCTCGTCGGTATCGACCAGTTCCTCCTCAAGTCTGGTACCCTCACCACCCTGGACACTGCCCACAACCTCAAGGTCATGAAGTTCTCCGTCTCCCCCGTCGTCCAGCGCTCTGTCCAGTGCAAGAACGCCCAGGATCTCCCCAAGCTCGTCGAGGGTCTCAAGCGTCTGTCCAAGTCTGACCCTTGCGTCCTGACCTCGACCTCCGAGTCCGGTGAGCACGTCGTTGCCGGTGCCGGTGAGCTCCACCTCGAGATTTGCCTGAACGATCTCGAGAACGACCACGCTGGTGTTCCTCTCATCATCTCCGACCCCGTCGTCGCTTTCCGTGAGACCGTCGGCGCCAAGTCTTCCATGACCGCCCTGTCCAAGTCCCCCAACAAGCACAACCGTATCTACATGGAGGCTGAGCCCATTGACGAGGAGCTCTGCAAGGAGATCGAGGGTGGCAAGGTCAGCCCCCGTGACGATTTCAAGGTCCGCGCTCGTATCCTCGCCGACGACTTCGGCTGGGATGTCACCGACGCCCGTAAGATCTGGACCTTCGGTCCCGACACGGTCGGCGCCAACCTGCTGGTTGACCAGACCAAGGCCGTCCAGTACCTCAACGAAATCAAGGACTCCATGGTCTCTGGTTTCCAGTGGGCCACCCGCGAGGTCCCGTTGCCGAGGAGCCCATGCGCGCCATCCGCTTCAACATCATGGACGTCACCCTCCACGCCGATTCCATTCACCGTGGTACCGGTCAGATCATGCCCACCACCCGTCGTGTCCTGTACGCCGCTTCGCTTCTCGCCGAGCCCGGTCTCCTCGAGCCCGTCTTCCTCGTCGAGATTCAGGTTCCCGAGCAGGCCATGGGTGGTGTCTACGGTGTCCTTACCCGTCGTCGTGGCCACGTCTTCGGCGAGGAGCAGCGCCCCGGCACTCCCCTCTTCACCATCAAGGCCTACCTGCCCGTCATGGAGTCCTTCGGCTTCAACGCCGATCTGCGCCAGGCCACCTCCGGCCAGGCCTTCCCCCAGATGGTCTTCGACCACTGGCAGATCCTGCCCGGTGGCTCTCCCCTTGACCCCACCTCCAAGACCGGTGGCATTGTCCAGACGATGCGTAAGCGCAAGGGTATCAAGGTTGAGGTGCCCGGCGTTGAGAACGTAAGTCACTTTTTGCTCGATCCCGACTCTCGTATGAAACAGAAACAGCTGCTGACATGCCGTGACAGTACTACGACAAGTTGTAAACGCCTCATTCAAGGGCTATCGAAGCCTGGCGCCGACACGTCCCTCGTGACGTCCAGTTGTCGTCAGGCTTCGTGGGCCATCCCGTCCCACCGGCCACGAAAGAGAAGCCGATTGTGCGGGAATGGCGAAGGAGCTATCAAAATGGGGAGGCTTTACTGAGGCAGTCAGCCATGAAGCCCATCTCATGCGTTTGATTGCCATGACACGGCTAGTAGTTTTTTTGCTAAGGAATTGATGACTGTTCTAAATAACAACTCGATGCTGTACAGGTGAAATGTGCACTGTTATTTTCTGCCCGCCACTCTGGCTTAGCTTCGGCTGAGACTTTTGTTACTTCTCTCCCAACCTGGCGACGTCGTTCGGCGAGGGTGGTGGCTGCCAAGAGGGACCAAAGTAGGATTGAGGTTTGTTACGTGGTCTGTGCTCGACCTGCCCTTGCTTGCAAGCTCCTGATCCCGAGCTTGGTACCTAAAATTTCGCCTTCCACCTCCACTTCCACTCTCGACACGCCCATCGCTGACGAATAATACTTCTGACCACCATCGCGGCATGACCTTACTCTTTTCGTACACATCCCATTGCATATATCTCATCAGTTTGCGTATGGCGTTATAGCTCTTCGACCTCGTGCTTTCTACTCACCGCGCGTGACCGCGCCGCCGAGCCCCGACAAACATGCTGCTCTCTGCCGACGACAAGGTCGGCCTGCGGGCATGGATCATGAAGAAGCTGCCTGAGGTGTATGTTTTTTTTCCCCTTTTCCTTAGCCATATTTTGCCCTAGCCCTTCGGGCCCTGGCTTGTCCCGCTCCACTTGTGGTGCGTTCGCTAATGCAATCGCCTTTTCCTGACAGGTCCGACTCTGAGACGGAAATTTTTGCCGATTATCTTCTTGCGCTGCTTGCATCCGGCTACGAAGACGACGAAGAAGAGCTTCGAGCGTTGTGTGAGCAAGAGCTCCCCCAATTCCTCAACGATGGTACGATGCACTTTACTGGCTTGGCTCTCTGATCGACTGCTGACTTGCGTTGCTTAGGCGCCACACCTCGCTTCATCAACGACCTCTTCCGGGTGATTGAGACGAAGGACTGGACGGGCTCACGTCCTGCTCCGAAAGGACCTGCCCATTCAGCGTTGCCGACCAGCTCTCAGCCCCCGACTGGCCCCAGCCTCCCCCAGAATGGGTCACACGCCCATGCGAGCGCACGAGAGTCAAACAGGAAACGTTCTTTTAACGATGTTGAAGAACCCGACTTTCCGGTCGCGCCACCTCGCGGCCCCAGCAATGGGCGACACATCAAGCAGCCTCGACGGAGCGGAGGTCTGCCGCCCAGGCCGTCGTGGCCTCTACCTATCGTTTATCCCGATCAGAACGGCGCGGCGCCGGCGTACGGTACTGCTCCTCAGATGCCTGCGCAGTTCCCGCAGCCTGTCAGGTCTGGCTACATTCCTTCTGGACCGATAAGCTATCCTCTAGGTCACTATGGTACGTTGTTCCCGGACGTTGATTTTTCTTCTTCCTCTCTCTCTCTCTCTCTCTCTCTCCGTAACCTGATGACACCCATTTTTTTCAATGTGGGAGCATTCGTGCGATGAAAACCCCCATTATTATAAGGTTGACTTCTGAATTTACGTCTCTTGAATCCACACATGGCGCTGCATTCTTTCCATCACATCAGATGTTGACAGTTTGCACAGAACCTTCACCGAACGATCTCGCCGCCGCCATGCTCGCCCAGAACATGCAGCAAATGCAGCAGCTGTGGGATATAGTGACCGCAAGCAAGGACAAAATCAGTCACGGAAGGGGTCGCGTCGCGAAGCGCGGCGGAGGCCGCAAGGCCTCTGACCGAGCACCCTTCTCCGCCGGAGGAAACGTGACTGACAAGACGAAGAGCACCATTGTTGTGGAGAGCATCCCCGACCAGCACCTCAACGAGGATGCTGTGCGGGACGCTTTCTCCGAGTTTGGCACCATTGTCGACGTCACGCTACAGCTCTACCATCGGCTCGCCATTGTCAAGTATGACACTTGGCACGCGGCGAACACTGCCTACCGATCGACCAAGGCCTTCTTTGACAATCGCTTTGTCAAGGTCTTTTGGTACGACGAGGATGCGGCCGAGCAGGGCAACGGCGCGTCGAAGGCTTCTGGCATTGACAACGCTCCCGAGGAACCGGAATTCGACCTCGATGCCTTCATCAAGAAGCAGGACGAGGCCCAGAAGGTGTACGAGGAGAAGCGTCAGCGCCCAACAGGAGCTGGAAAAGCAGCGCCAGGACCCTGACGGAAAAGGCAGAGGGACCTTTTTGAGCCGCCAGCGTGAAGTCCGCCGGAAACTGCAGGAGAAGCTTCGGCCAGGCGTCTGGCGGCGAGGATGGCGTTGACGGCTCCAATAATAACGAGGTGCTCAGGGCCCAGCTCGCCGCCCTCGAAGAGGAGGCCAAATATCTCGGTCTTGACCCGGACGCGGACGACGTCGGCACCTATGGCGGATTCCGCGGCGGGTACGCGGTCGCGGCCGTGGCCGTGGCCGTGGTGTCCATCGCGGTCGTGGCGGCCACGGCGTCGATAGGGCTGCCGTGTATGCGGCATTTGAGCAGTACACACTCGACAACCGTACCCGTGTAATTGAGATCTCGGGTGTTGATTTCTCGGATTCCGAAAAGGACGAGGCGCTACGACAGCACCTTTTCGTACGTTTGCCCCTCTCTCGTTTCGTTTGCTGTTGCGTGCCCAACACTAACATGGTCTCAGGGGATTGGTGAATTTAATGATATTCAGATCACGCCTATGACGGCGCAAATCACATTCAAGTCGCGCAAGACGGCCGAGCGGTTCCTCCACGCCGCCAAACTGGCTCCCATTCCCAACGTGGGCTCCGTCGAGGTTGCCTGGGTCGAGAACGGGCCGGCCGCGGCCGTCGTTTCTACCGCTTCATCGGCCCCGGCTCGTGGCCCGATCGAGAAGAACGAGCCCGAAATTGCCGTCGAGAGACGCGCGTCGGCCGAGGCGCAGTCGGACGTGAAGCACGAGCCCAAGACGGAAGTGGACATGGATTACGAGCTATACGAAGACGGCGAGTGGGTGGACTGAGCTCCTTGTATGCTTTCGCCGGTAGAGAGTGAGGAGGTTTTTTTTAGTTTCTTTTTCGCATGACGACCACCAAAAGAATTTGCACGAGGCAACGAGCGGCCTCGTTTTGTACTACTAGCTAGCATTGGGTTCATTATACCCCGGACGCGAGACGTCCATCGAACCCCGGACGGAAAGGGCACGGATTCGCACAGCTGGATCGCTGTGCTTGGTGGGCGGGGTGGACAGGCGGACAGACTGCAGTTGGCTATCATTGGCCCCGCGGCCTAGGTTTCGGCTGGAACCAGCATGATAGACTTGTATTGACACTCTGTCATGACTTGCATGACGATGAAAGTTGACCGAGTTTGGCTCAGCAAAGTGCATGGTGCGCTGGATTTGACATGACTTTGAAGGTGATACCATTTTGTTCCATAATGTGGCTGTGGGAGTCTCCTATCACCTCTCCTCCGCACTTGAAATAACCGACTGCCGTAAACAAGATTTGAAGTGTTGTCCGGGAGGAGGGGGCCGACTGCTTTGCATGGACTTCTACCTGTATGGGTGAGCAGACAATCCGTCACTTGTCATCAACGAAATGATTGGTAGTCAAGCATAGTATTTCCTGCCCACTAGAGACTATCCAACAGCATCTCCGCCGCTGCTCCATCCCCCCATCCTCCATCCTCCAGGAAACCAGAAGAAAAATGCCCCCATGTTGAAAAGAACTCCATGCTCCAAGCCGCTATCCTGCGGCCTTCAGTTTTAAGGTTGAACTCGAATTGGTTCTTGGGGGTATCGTTGAGATATGATATGCATGCTTCCGCCCTTCCGCCCGTCATAAAAGAGAGATTCCGTCAATCTCCCTCGGTTTTGTTTCCTGCCAGGACCTCCTGGCTGTACCTTGTGAGTCCCAATTTGACGTGACTCGAATACAGCCTTGGCTGTCTCCTCCTTTTTTGTTGAAAAAAGCATGCTGGCACCTCTTGTCATGTTTCCCTATCCTGGGTTTGAAACGCCTCGTAAGATGCATCATAAAAGGGTCAAATCGTGAGTGTCAAATAAATTAGGCCGCAGGAACTGCGATGCCGTTGGTAGTGCCGTTGGTGGGGGCCGAAACGACGTCGGGAGCGACGTCCTGGACCACCGGCTTGATGTCGTCGTACTCCTTGACAGAGAGACCCTCGAAGAGATCGAAAATCTCGCGCTGCTGGTGGAAATCGTTATTCACTGTGACTTGTTAGCGAAACGTTGCACGCTTCAGACGGCACGATAGGGCTGCACTTGCCGACGTTAACGAGGTACCACTCATTCATGATACGCTCGACAAGCACACGGCTAGGGGACGACTGTTCAAAGCAGTGCGCCCAGTCGAGACCGAGGCGGAAGGCCTCGTCCTTCCAAGCCACAAAGCTGATGCCTTCGACAATGGTTGGCTGCACAATCTCCTTTCCGGGGAAGACACCCCAGGTCACAGCATTAGGACCGTCCGAGGGCGCGTTGTACTTGAGGTTTCCGCTCTTAGTGACAGCGTAATAGGTCATGTCAGGGTGCTTTTCAATACGAGAAATGATCTCGGGGTAGAGGTCGGGATGAACCAGCATCTCAAGGTACGACTTTTGGTAGACATAACCGTTCTTGGGACCCCAGCCGTGCACGGCGTGGGAAGACTTGACGCCGTTCACAGCAGGCTGAGAGTTGATGGTGATGATACCCCTCTTGTTGAGGGCGATGAGATCCTCGCGAATGGGGTCTGCCTCGTTTGTCAGAGGCGACTCGCTCCAGGGGAGACAGTCAATCTCGTTTTGGAGGTAGCGAACAAACAGGGTCGCAATGTCCTGGACGGTCTGTGGCTCTCCCCACTTCTTGATGTTCTGCTCGTTCGTGCCGGTCAGACCGATACCGTAAGCGTCCAGCTCACCAAAAGCGGGCGAGCGCGAGTCACCCCATCGACCGTTGGGGAACTCGTCCCAGTCCTGCGTGCGGAGAATGTACGACTTGTTGCGTCCCTTCCAGAAGATGGGGCGCACGTCCTCCTCTCGCCTGCCGAGACCGAGGGATTGCTTCCAGGGCAGGGCTTGCTTGAGGGGGCGCTCCGAAGTGGGCATCCAGTTGAGCTCCTCGAGGACCATGCGGGTGGCCTGGGCGAGGTTCATGGTGTAAAAGTGCAAATGGTGAATACCGGCAGCGAGAATCTTGCGGCAGAATACACC